TTTAAAATTTTTTATTTTTTTCTGAATTTTTCGATTGGGCTATAGTCTACTAATTTCTTTTTACACTCAACAATGTATTATAAATTCTTAAATAATATGCTGACAAGCTTGTGTTACATTTCTTTGAACATAACTATTGAAAATAATTCATCCCAGTTATTTTCCTTTTGTAATATTTGATTGAGACTAGTATACATGGATAAAAAAAATTGTTGTTTTGGTTATGTAAAAGTAAAATATTTTGTAAATATTTGTATAGTTATTTTGTCCTCTCTGTAGGATTGGTAAATATTTTAACTCTAAGCATAATTAAATCAACTATGCAAAATTAATGTAAAATGAGTACACGTGTCGGTGTTAAATGTGAAATATGGTACGTCTATTCGCTTGTTTTGTACACAACTTACTGCTATCTACATAGTGATAAAGAAATGCACTCCGCTTGTGAACTACTTTATGTACAAACACGACCAGCAATAACTGCCTTTTATAAAAACCATTGTAAAGTGAATATAATTCTAATCGAAAAACTACATTTAAAATAATTTAATTTTAATATTTACTTTTCATGCAATATTATTCAAAATATTATTTATCTTTCTTTCTCATTATATATCACCCTCACTTAGTTCACTCACTAGTTCATTCTCTTACTATTTCCTAGTTTGCAACTTTTTTATCCTGCGCCTAATCAACTAACATCACTTAAATTTGGTGCCAGTTTAGTTATAGGCCAATAGAAGTTTTTAGCTGTTTTTCTGTCGTTGTCGTTGGTTATTTCCCATTATAAAAAAATTGTCGAAGGAGACGAGCAAAGTATCCCATAGCTACAAACCTTTAACCGAAGTCGTCTCGCTCAGTCTGACAGACCCGATGAGACTGTTGCTCAATTTCGTATTACTAATAGGGGTCATCTGACTGCATATCTATGCAGTTTTTTATTTCAATATGTTTTTACTTCTCTCAAAAGCTTGCATTAGTATCTTCATAAGGTGTGTAATATTTTAAGGCCGTAAGAATTGTCGGAAAAAATAGCATACCAGCGTATAATTCAGAAGAATAAGTCACAGTAGCAACATTTGCATGTTACTTAAATTTACTTGTACCTAACATTTTTATTAATTACACTATAATTAAATGTGTTAATCGGGAAATAATAATTAATCTCTTGTACAAATATTTTTAAATTTTAAACCTTTGACCTCACTCTTTATGCAATTAAAATAATAAACTGGCGAGCATAAAATTATGGTAACGCAGCACTTTGGAAATCCTTCTGAATAGAGTAAGCGAAACTTTACCATTCAACAACATAATACCCGAACTATTCCCGTTTGGTTACCGTTCAAACTATTAAATTATTCAATAGTGTCATAAAATAGTAAATAAAATCAAGAAAAATTTGAAAGAAAAGACCATGTGTGCCTCAAACTAACCTCAGTTAACATTTTTTAAATATTCTTATAGTGTTGGAGGGCGTGAGGCAGAGCCATGAGGGAGAGCTACGGGGCGCGGCCCTTTCTAGAAAATGAAGCTGGCAATGGGATAAAACAGAGAGATTCCCTGAGTCCTTATTGTTCAACCTGATTATGGGCGAAATAATAAAAAAGTAAGAACTAAAAAAGGATACCAAATGGGAGAAAAACAATTTAAATAATCTGCTATACAGACGACGCAATACTACTTTCTCAAAGTGAAGATGATTTACAACGTATGCTGCACCAATTTAATACAACCGCCAGAAAATTTAACATGTTAATTTCCCCAAAAAAGAGAAAATGCATGGTTACAACAGCAGATTTATCAAGATAAAAATTGGAGCTGGAAGGTCAGATAATAGAACAAGTAATGGAGTTTAAATACCTAGGCATCACTACGGAAAGCTCGAAACCGAAGTGAAAGGTCAAGTGAATAGAGCAAACAGAGCCACAAACTGCCTAAAGGAAACAGTATGGAGAAATAAGAAATAGAGGAAAGAAAAGAAAGGCAGAATTTACAAAACAGTCATCAGACCAATAATGACATACGCGGCAGAAACAAGACCTGACACAGAGAGGACAAAAAGGATGTTAGAAACAGCAGAGATAAAAACAGAAAAATTGATGGTAAGACACTATAAGACAGAGCTGGAAGATCATCAAGAACTGAGTAAAAAATAGAAGAGTAGAATGGAACGATCATATAAGCCGAATGAGAAAAATATAGTAGTAAAGACGACAAGAGACGGTTCCCCAATAGGAAGACGATCAGTAGGAAGACCACGAAAACGATGAAACGACAACTTACTGGAGGCACATTGAAAAACAGACAGAGTCATGTCTATATAAAAAGAAGAAGATATTCACACTGTTATACTAGATTTTACAATAATTACATTACATTGCACAAGTTTTAGCGTCAGCACTATGGAACTATGGTTTCCTAACGCCCGATAAAGGCATATGATTACCATGGAAACGACATGCACTATTATGAGCTTTTGGAAGTATCGCCCTACGGCACGAAGCTATGGCGTTTATACGAGGGTTAGAAAGCAATCCCGAGAAACTTACACTTAGATTGGTTAAATATTACACGGAGATACATACCACACAATTGTTTTGTATTGATAAAGTTAAGTTGAAATAATAAGAAATGACGATTAGGGTGTGTGAGTTAATAAAACAGGTCACAGGTGGGCAAGGTAATATTGAAAAAAAAATGAACGAAGTATTGAATTGAAGACAAGTGCAGTCTGGTTATAAAAAGCGAGGTTTACGCGGAAGTTTAATTCAAATATATACTACAAGACGTTAGGGTTGTGCGTATGTCAAGAAAAAACGCGTTATTTTATTTTGTTTGTTATTTGGTATACGTGATTTGAAACATCTGGACGAAAAGATAAAAAAACACGAAAAAATTCTGCCAAATATATGAACAATAGCTGCTTCAAGCTATTAGGCGGAATGCTTCTGCTTTAAGTAATTCATATTCCGATAACATTCGTATGCACAACAAAATTGTATTAAAAAATTGTTATGGCTGTCAAAAATTATCGATATTTTGAAAATATGGGAATACGTGCTTGGTGGAGGAAGACAATGGATAGCGACGACTGGGGAGAAATTCTTGAGGAGGCTAGGACCCACATAGGGTTGTAAAGCCAGAATGATGATGATGAATGGAAACAATGACGACTGTTTTTATAACTAGTTGATTACACTAAAAATATAGATTCCACACTACCTATTTACCTAAAAGAAGCAGAAATAACACAAGAAAATGAAAATGTAATCGGTTGCTTACTTTCTTTACATTTAATAGCGTCATGCGGTTTGTGAAATAAATAAAATTTTGATTATTTTAATAACGCTGCAAATGACAACTGCGAAAACTAAAAGTTTTTTCTCTACTTTGCAATTGATCGAGACGTTTCTAAGGAATACAATGTCAGAAGAAAGACTGACGGTGTTTGTCATGTGGTCTATCGAAAAAACTTTTGTTTAAGAATTTTTTGACTTATGTAAATGTAATGGAAAGTGCATAAAAACAGAAGGATTGAGTTTACTTTTAACAAGTAGGATTTTGGAAAGTACCTATGTATTTATTTTTTTATTTCTTGAATCAGCGCCCCCTGAACAAAAATATCACCAGCCACTACTGATTCCTCCGAAATTTTTATTTAATAGAAGTTAATTCACATATTACAGATTTTAAATTATCTACCACACTACTATTAAGCCAGTATGTAAAAAGTTTGATCAACGTATAAGTATTTTGGATAAATATTTTGTTAATGATAAAATATATGAAATAGTCATAGATTATGTTAATTTATCAAATATAAAGTATGTGGATAAAGGAGGCAGATAAAGGAGACAGGAAGTCGATATCTTTTATCAAAAATTTAGGTCAGCACTACTGAAAGCCTGCAAGTAAATCAAGTGTTATCGTTTTTTGAAAACAAAAAAAAATCGACGGACGCACTGTCAAAGTAAATATCTTAGTAATGGACGTAAAAGATATAAAAGAAGGGCGAAAAATAGAAATAAATCAAAAATAGGATTTTTGGCAGACGATACAGTAGTAAATTGTTAAACAACTAAACAAAACATAAAAAATAATAAAGAATGGTAACCATGAAAGAAGACATAAATCTAAAAGGCTATTCATTAAAATAAGACCCCAGGAATTTTAAAAATAGACAGCTTGATTTTTGTTCTTTGTTATACATCATTTTATAACTTAAAATTTATGCTATTTTTCTAAATAATCTCCATTTATATACAAACACTTTTGCAAACGATGCTCCAACTTTTCTATCCCCATGTTATAGAAGAATGATACCGTGAATCCCCTGAGAAATCGAGCAACCTCTTCTTTGACTTCAACATCGGTATTGAAGCGTAAGACACCCAAATGTTCCTTTAATTTTAAGAATAAGTGAAACACTTGGTGTTAAGTCCGAACTGTAAGGGGTAGGGCACAATATTCCAGCCAAAATCTCTTAGCAATTGTTTAATGTGATGTGAGACATGAGGTCGAGCGTTGTCATGGAGAAGCTTCACACCACTGGATAATTCATCTCGCCGGAGGTTCTCGATCGCACGTCTAAGACTTTATTTTAATGTCTCACAATATCTGTCTGGGTTAATTGTTGTTCCATGAGACAAAAAGTCGAGGCAACAATAAGCCCCTCCTGTCCCATAAGACGATTGCCATGTTGTTGACATTGACCTTCCCAGCAGACTGTGTTTGTTTACACTTCTTCGGTTCCGGAAAAGTTAAGTGACGAATTCAGGTAAATAATTGCTGCTTGGTTTGGGGGGTAAAGTCTAACACTCATGTTTCGTTGCCTGGAATCCAAAAATTCTTCCTTGTTGTCATCACATTGTTGCCTACCGGGTGCACTCGATATACTTATACCATATTACAAGTTTCGATGCAAAACACATTTTTCCGTGTAACCAATTACAAAGTCACATTTCTATTAATTTTGTAACAAATGTTCAAAAACTTACCTTCGTGATTAAACGTATTCAAATTACACCTTTGGATACCGGCGAAGCTGACTAACAATTTGAGGGCCTCCTTTCTGTTTAACTCTGTCGCGTAGTGGAGAAGGCTGTTTCCTTCTGAATCTGTGGTGTCACAACGAGCACCCTCGGTCAAGAGAGCATCCACGATTTCTATCGAAGAATTGTGGATCAATGCTAATTGCAGTGGAGTCTAAAATTTAAAATGTAATTACTATTTAACTGGGAATAGGCCACAATTAAAGGTTAAAATACGTTTATTGACGTTTCAATTTTGAGAATTTGTTTGTATTTTGAGAACTATTTCCGAAGTGGAAATTGAAACGTCAATAGACGTATTTTAACCTTTAATTGTGACTTACTCCCAGTCAAATAGTAATTCATTTAAAATGCCACAAGAAAATAGCTTCAGAACAATATTTAAAATGTAGTTTTGAAAACATAGTTTAATAATACATGCGATATACTTAAGTATTAGAAAAAGTAGTTCATTTTGATATTATAGGTCAATTACGTCTTAAATAAAATAAGCCACGTATTATTGAGATCCATTCAGTCAAATTATCCGGATCCGCCTTAGGAATTAGCTTATTTTTTAAAAAATCTTAAATTAAATTTCGCAAAAACTATTCAACCGATCTGATTCATCTTTTGCGCATACTTTAACCTTCAACTGGTATGATGGGTCAATATTGACCCGACCAAATTTAGTTTTATAATTTAACCAATATTGCAAACGGCGAACGGCACTGGCCAATTATGAATTTTCCGATTTTTTACGGTACTCTCAGTTGATCTCTATTGTGCGTGCGGGCGACGGTTTTCCGAAAACACAAGAATTCGGGGCAGATCTGACCCAGTATACCTTTAGTAACACTATTTTTGTTTTACCGTTTTACATAATGAACCGCCGCAACAGACCTCTTACGCAGCAAGAACTTCAAGAAGAGGATTATATTAGTGACTATAGAGCGAGTTAAGCGATCATGACAGTGATTCAGTGTTAGAGGAATAAGAAAAGGAGTAAGCTGAAAATGAAATTGTTCTAGAACAATCCGATACGGTTGAAAAAGATGAATAGGAAGAATTAGGGGTAGGAGGGCAGACGTTTTTTAAAAAAAATAAATACAAGTGGTCAAAAATACCTCCAGTCTGCGGAAAAACTCGAAAAGAAAGAAAACACAATCAGAATACGCATACCTGCAGTGATGGGTAATGCATACAGAAATAAACCAGCCAAACCAGTACAAACATGGAATTTCATATTTAACGATCATATGCTAGATATTATAATAGAACATATAAATGAAAGAATTACTGATTTGACAATGTCTTAAGCTGATAGGGTCCTAAACTGTAAATTTACAAACCATGTAGAAAAAGCTGAAATGAAAGCCTTCATTGGTCTCCTTTGACAGTAAATATGACATACTATGACAGTAAAACGTTTTTGTTTCTTATGCGCTTTGATAATAGTGTCACAAGAAATGAACGAATCCAGAATGGCAATAAACTTGCCGCTATTTTAGAAATCCACAAGGAAAAATTCCTGTAGCTGGCTGTATACCACGTATAACAAAAAGAGGTTAATCTTTGTAAGTGGGTATATTTATTTAAAAAACCCTTAAAAGGGCCACATCAATAGAACAAACGTTTTCGGACTAAACAGTCCATCATCAGGTTATTAAAATCGAAAATGCCTAAAAATAAGTATAAACCATTTAGTTAAAACTAACGAGATTTTGAAATTTTGACTAAGGTTGAAAAGCAAAAGATGGTTATACTTACTAGGTCATAATGCCTGAGCCACCAAAATATTAGGGTAAAAACCCTTTAAATTACATTTAGTTATGAAATTATTTACATTGTGTTATAAAATAACTGTGATGTTCTATATTAAATTAAATTTGACCAAAGGTAACACATGGCTCAAATGGGTTCCAGAGCCGGGCGAGAGACAACCTCTGCGCTCGGAGAACAACGTGGAACTGATTGACAAGATACTTTTGAAGGATGAAGATAACAGAATGTCAATGCAACAAAAACTATAAAAGTTGTACATAGTATTACTACAGCCAAAAGATTCAACAAGTTTTGATGATTTTAAAAATAACAACAATATAGGTGTTGGGATTTAAAAACTTTTTTATTTATTAATTTAGGGTATAAAAGATGTCAAATCAATGATGGTTTTATAGTCATGATTAATATAAAGACCTGTGCCTTAGGCAACTTATGTTGCTTTTCGTCGTATGGAATGTGGTCTAAAGTGTATTTAGTTTTTGGGTTAGCTTGTATTTGTGGAATTTATCCTTTTATGTTTAACACATCTAGGACAAGGTAAAAATTAAATAACAAATATTTGAAGCTAATATAAGACCTCATGTTTAAATGACTTTATTTAGGAATGCTCCTATGGTGAAGAATTAATAAAATTAAGTTTAGTAAGATGGAAATCTACAGGCTGAAGAAATTGAAGTAGTAACATATGTGATTGAATTTAAAATCGAAGAGACTGGGTTCCTCAGAGACTGATGAGAATGAAATTAAAAGAAATGAAAGGAGGGGGGGGTTGAAGGAGAAAAGGAGTTGATCAACAATTAGAGATAATAGGGGTCCTTTATACTTAAAGTATCTAGCACCCTGAACAAAATCTATTTAGGTGGTATTAAATTCAGTTTGTAGAAACCTGAAATTTGTTGTATAAGTGTGCTACTAAGTTGTTGACCGAAAGAAGGTGGACAAAGGTAGATTAGGATTCTATGTAATATGGTAGATTATGAATTTTAATAAATTGTTAGATAATGTTTAAGTGATTACTAAATTAAAACTATTGGATACATGTTTAATATATGAATTGACCAAGAAATAATGAAAGAGAACAAAATTAACAGGAAAACGATGTAGAAGTGAAGAGTGAAGTGAGTGAAGAGATAAGATAGTGGAATGTTGGTATGGAGGATGTGGATGGTTCTGAAGTTAAAATTGGGGTCAGAAATTTGTGAGAGGAAGGTGTGACGATATTGTATAAAAAGGGGTGTTTGAAGAACCACAAGATTATGTAGGAATAAGGTGTTGACGTTTGTATAGGAAAATAAGGCAAAGAAAATAGGACAGTATTGTGAAGTGTGGACTATGAAAAAAGTTGACGATGTAAAGGTTGAAAGTCACGGTTGAAAGATACATGGCGATTAACACAATTGGGGCTTTTTTGTTTTTCTTTGACTATTTCCAAGTCTTCATATAGGTCTAATTTTAGAAAATTTTTTTGGGGAATATTATGTAACAAAGAGACGTCTTCTGGGATGTTGAGGGTATGTTTATGTTGTGCAAGATGTTGAGAGAAGGTGGAAGTGTTCTCTTTTTTTGTGTGTTCTAAGGAACGAGAAGTTAGTGATCTACAGGTTCTACCTATATATGTAGCATCACAATCAGAGCATTGTAATTTATAAACGCCACTACGATCCATGTAGTTGATGGGATCTTTTGTATTAGTTAAGCATTGTCCTAGATTGTTCGGGACTTTGAAAGAAATGTGGGTATTCTCAACAGATCTTTTTAGGATGTATCTAAGATCTCCAGAAAGACGTTCTTGAAGGTAAGGCAAAGAAAAATACTGAGTTTTGATGGTCAAGTCTCTGGGAAACGCAGTCTCTCTCAATAGTTTGAGTTGTCTCTTATTTATAAGTTTGTTAATGATGTTGGGGTCATATCCATTATTGAAATATGCAGCATTCCATAGTTACATTCACCGATTATTAACAATTCCACTATCACAATCCAATTATCATACAGAAGTTAACACCCTTAAACAAATAGCATTCAATAATGGATATGACCCCAACATCATTAACAAACTTATAAATAAGAGACAACTCAAACTATTGAGAGAGACTGCGTTTCCCAGAGACTTGACCATCAAAACTCAGTATTTTTCTTTGCCTTACCTTCAAGAACGTCTTTCTGGAGATCTTAGATACATCCTAAAAAGATCTGTTGAGAATACCCACATTTCTTTCAAAGTCCCGAACAATCTAGGACAATGCTTAACTAATACAAAAGATCCCATCAACTACATGGATCGTAGTGGCGTTTATAAATTACAATGCTCTGATTGTGATGCTACATATATAGGTAGAACCTGTAGATCACTAACTTCTCGTTCCTTAGAACACACAAAAAAAGAGAACACTTCCACCTTCTCTCAACATCTTGCACAACATAAACATACCCTCAACATCCCAGAAGACGTCTCTTTGTTACATAATATTCCCCAAAAAAATTTTCTAAAATTAGACCTATATGAAGACTTGGAAATAGTCAAAGAAAAACAAAAAAGCCCCAATTGTGTTAATCGCCATGTATCTTTCAACCGTGACTTTCAACCTTTACATCGTCAACTTTTTTCATAGTCCACACTTCACAATACTGTCCTATTTTCTTTGCCTTATTTTCCTATACAAACGTCAACACCTTATTCCTACATAATCTTGTGGTTCTTCAAACACCCCTTTTTATACAATATCGTCACACCTTCCTCTCACAAATTTCTGACCCCAATTTTAACTTCAGAACCATCCACATCCTCCATACCAACATTCCACTATCTTATCTCTTCACTCACTTCACTCTTCACTTCTACATCGTTTTCCTGTTAATTTTGTTCTCTTTCATTATTTCTTGGTCAATTCATATATTAAACATGTATCCAATAGTTTTAATTTAGTAATCACTTAAACATTATCTAACAATTTATTAAAATTCATAATCTACCATATTACATAGAATCCTAATCTACCTTTGTCCACCTTCTTTCGGTCAACAACTTAGTAGCACACTTATACAACAAATTTCAGGTTTCTACAAACTGAATTTAATACCACCTAAATAGATTTTGTTCAGGGTGCTAGATACTTTAAGTATAAAGGACCCCTATTATCTCTAATTGTTGATCAACTCCTTTTCTCCTTCAACCCCCCCCTCCTTTCATTTCTTTTAATTTCATTCTCATCAGTCTCTGAGGAACCCAGTCTCTTCGATTTTAAATTCAATCACATATGTTACTACTTCAATTTCTTCAGCCTGTAGATTTCCATCTTACTAAACTTAATTTTATTAATTCTTCACCATAGGAGCATTCCTAAATAAAGTCATTTAAACATGAGGTCTTATATTAGCTTCAAATATTTGTTATTTAATTTTTACCTTGTCCTAGATGTGTTAAACATAAAAGGATAAATTCCACAAATACAAGCTAACCCAAAAACTAAATACACTTTAGACCACATTCCATACGACGAAAAGCAACATAAGTTGCCTAAGGCACAGGTCTTTATATTAATCATGACTATAAAACCATCATTGATTTGACATCTTTTATACCCTAAATTAATAAATAAAAAAGTTTTTAAATCCCAACACCTATATTGTTGTTATTTTTAAAATCATCAAAACTTGTTGAATCTTTTGGCTGTAGTAATACTATGTACAACTTTTATAGTTTTTGTTGCATTGACATTCTGTTATCTTCATCCTTCAAAAGTATCTTGTCAATCAGTTCCACGTTGTTCTCCGAGCGCAGAGGTTGTCTCTCGCCCGGCTCTGGAACCCATTTGAGCCATGTGTTACCTTTGGTCAAATTTAATTTAATATAGAACATCACAGTTATTTTATAACACAATGTAAATAATTTCATAACTAAATGTAATTTAAAGGGTTTTTACCCTAATATTTTGGTGGCTCAGGCATTATGACCTAGTAAGTATAACCATCTTTTGCTTTTCAACCTTAGTCAAAATTTCAAAATCTCGTTAGTTTTAACTAAATGGTTTATACTTATTTTTAGGCATTTTCGATTTTAATAACCTGATGATGGACTGTTTAGTCCGAAAACGTTTGTTCTATTGATGTGGCCCTTTTAAGGGTTTTTTAAATAAATATACCCACTTACAAAGATTAACCTCTTTTTATTTTAGAAATATTTAACGTTATGATTACCAACTGTCAATCAAATTATGCTTGCGGTAAGTTAATGACTATCGATGAAATGTTGGTGGGGTTTAGGGGAAAGATTTCGATACAAAATGTATATGCCGAATAAACCGAATAAATATGGCATAAAAATAATGTGTTTGTGTGATGCTAAGACACATTTATTGAATGCGTTTATATATGCTGGAAGAGATGATTGTCCCAATCCGAAAAAATTATCCATTCCCACACTTAACGTTTTACAACTTGTACAGCCTATTGTAAATAGTAATCGAAATATCACCGCTGATAACTGGTTTTCATCAGTTTAATTGGCAAATGAATTTGTGGACTAACGTATACAGGAACATTGCGAAAAAACAAAAAAGGAATTCCCCCTGAATTTTTGCCTAATAAAGACCGCCCCGCTTTGTCACCCATTTTTGGATTTACAAACGATCTAACACACCTATCATATGTGCTTAAAAAGCATAAAGCTGTCATAATGCTGTCTTCACTACACCATACAGTTGCAATCGAAAATAATGAAAAAAAAACTTCCCCAAATTATAAATTTTTATAATTCAACAAAAGGAGGAGTTGACAGCTTGGATCAAAAGTGCGCCTGTTATAATATAGGTCGAAGAAGTAGACGTTGGCCACTGACGATATTTTATGCAATGATAAATATTCTGGTTTCACATTCTCACGTTATTTATAACAGTGCTGTAGATACTAGTAAGACAATGGACAGGCGACAATTTATTATTAAAAAAAAAGAGGTTAAATCTTTGTAAATGGGTATATTTAAAAAAAAAACCTTAAAAGGGCTACATCAAATTAACACGAACGTTTTCGGAATAATAATTCCATCATCAGGTTAAAAATGCAGGTTATCATGCCTGAGCCAACAAAATATTAGGGTAAAAACCCTTTAAAATACATAAGGTTACCAAAGATTGTACATATTATTGTTATTAATATTTGATTATTAATATTTAATTAAATTTTACTTTAGGTAACATACACCCATGTCTTAAGTGAGTTCCAGCGTCCGGAAAGTAAACCTCTTCAAACGGACTGCAGCTGGTAACTGTGGTAACAAGCAGTTATCTGCTATTTATCGATGATAAATACTGCCATTGCTTCAGATGGAGCCATCCCCCAACATTAAAATTTGAAAGCGGCAGTTCAAGACATAATTCTTGTTTAACAAGATTTGTCATATGTTTAGGAAAAAATATTTAACGTTTTATTGCAAATATTTTCCACTTTTACAGTTTTATATAATGTTGTTATTTAAAAATGTTTCGGTTTCTTACCGGTAGCTTTATTATAAGCCGAAACATATTATTTTTTCCTATTGGGACAAAACTGTAAATTCAAAATTTTCAAAAAATTCATAAGTATTTCTTATAAGTATATCTTGATGTTGTAAAAAAATTATCAAAATCCTATGTTTCGTTTCTCGCTTTATACTTGGAAAAAAGTAGTTTTTTTGAGTTTTTTTCAAAAACAAAAACATGAAGTTTGCTTAAAAGTTGTCAAAATACTTCTAGTCATCACATATACCTTCTCAATTTTTGTCAAATTTTTTGAATTTGGATTTTGTCTTTTGGGGGTGCAGATCAACCTTAATTCGAATTTCCATTAAAAAATTGATGAATCCCTAGATGAGAGTCTGTTCGCAATATCTGATACTACACATTTTAACAGTCAAACCTGTCTATACACTTGTGACAAAACAAGCCTTATTTTTTTAATAACTTGATTTGCCTATTATTGGTATCTTTCATAAATTTTGGTACGGTAGATTTTTGAACATAATCTAACAATCTCTATCACATACTTCTCCCTTATTTCCTCGTTTTTAGAACGATCATGTTATATCTGAAAACTTATATACCAGTCCTCGTATGTGCAAGGGCACACAATAATACTTTGGGGTTTACTTGCTTTCAAATCAAGAGGGAATCCCTGGTGATAGAAAGTAAAAGTAAAACCCATTTTTTATGGTTAGGAGTTACGTTGAATTCGGCTACGAGATAACACGTGTCGGAAAACCAAAACCGCACAGAAATTACTATTAAAGATAAAAAAATTAAAAATACTTACATAATCGTGACTGTTTGGTACGTCCACAGAATGTTTCAGGACTTTCAGCAAGAATAAATTCCGTTTGACTAGTTTGAAATTATTTGTTATAACTCCTATGTGAATTGGTCTGTAATAAAAAAAAGAAAAAAATATTAAATTGATAGTACTTTTATTTTAGTAAAAATATAGTAATTATGTAAAACATTTGACTGCAAAAGCGTATTGCATATTAAGATATAAAATTTCGATAGATTAAAAGATCATAAATTAAGAAAAGTGAACAAGCCTGTTGAAACTTAAGGGTAATATTGAAAATACTTTTTAAAAGTTAAAAGAAAATCCGGAAAGCGGTAAAATCTTTTGATGCCAGTGTCAATGAAGTATCAGGTATAAAGTTATAGAGAGAAGAATGCGTTAGTCAATCATTGTGGCTCATCTAAAAACCGGGAAAACAAACCCAAAACTAGTGGTAGCTCGAGATATACGAACCTGCAAAATCATAAATATAGACCGGGAAATTAAGATTTCTCTCGGGATCAAATGCCTAGGTTGATTTTTACAATAGTTATGAACAAATAACGTTTCTGCCTTATTTTGCAGTTTTTGAAGAACAAATTAATTTTACAACTTTTAAAAATCGCCATTTTACAGCTTTTTTATGTTTTAAAAGATAAAGTTTTGTAATTTTACCTCAAATATTGTTAAAAAAGCCTCAAAAAAGGTTAAAAAGACGCCGAAATTTAATTGCTTTAATTTATTACCGTAATTGCTATTATACGAAAACGTTACATTAGAAATAAAAAATTATTAGAACACAAAATTCAACAAGTTTATACCTCTGTAATTTTCTAGCTGTTTTTTATCTCTTTTTTTGAATAGTAGAATTAGTTCGATCGTTCTTCATTCCTCCGGTATAATTTTATCAATTAATGTTGGTAATTGTTCTGTCATTGCTGTTCCACAATATTTCAGTATTTCGTTTAGGGCTCCGTTTTTACCTGAAGCTTCCCTATTCTTCAGCTTTTTAAGTGTTTTTTAAACTTCCAGTGTATTTACATTGACTTCTTCATCATTTGTGGTATTTTCTGATGTTTCCGGCTCTAACGTCATTAGGTCAACATAGAACTCGACGTAGAACTCAATATAAAATTTAGAAAGATAAACTGGATGCTTGGAAGAAATTCTAAACTATCCATTGATAACAAACTACTAATTCTACCCCTTAACTGGCGTTGTGGGGTCAGGCGGACCCCCAGTACTTTTTAAATCCATGTAAAACTTGCAAATTTAGCATTCGTGCACCCGTAAGCAACTCCGATACGCACTTCAACTGTGATTCAGTATTGATCTGAATAGCCAGCGGTACATTTCATTTGGGGTCTGTGTAGTACCACGACACTAATAGTGTTTTATTTCTGAAATGGCAGGTTCTTCCAAAAGAGTGTATTGCGGAGAGATTTGATCCTATCCTAAATTTCACTATATAAATAGAACTTCTCACTAATCTTTCTGATCCGATTGTAGTACAAAGTACCCTCAGCTTGTTGGTAAAATAATAAAAATGTATGAAAATTGATCACTTTTAATTTATTTATATTTTTTTTGTATAAAGTCACGAATGACCAATTATCAGATATTTTCATACCTAACTTAATAAACAGCAAATACTTAAAAATCTAAGGGCTTTGTGAAATGGTTTTGCCCTTATGAGTCTTCTCTTTAGTTCAATGTTGTCAACAAGCTGGATTCGACATTCACATGACTATGCAGCCTCTGCTCGTAACTTGCTGCTGTTCTCTTGATTACTTCGGCCAGTTTCCATACACAGGTCCTGGTGGAGTTTGCTGTTACGGATATACCAAGGAGCATCAACAATGTTCCTCAGTACTTTATTTTGAAATCTCTGGATAATATGTAGATTACTAGCTTTGGTACAGCCCCAGAGGTTGCACCCATATACCCATACTAGCCTCAGTACTTGCTTGTACATGGATAATTTATTATGAATGGATAATATTGGATAATTTATTATGAATGGATAATGTTTGATTTTTTCCAATCAGTCAATACAATTTCTTCTATCTAATATCAAGCTCCCTCTTTTCTTTTTGACATGAACTTTCCAGCGTCTAGGGTTATGCCCAAGTATTTTGCTGATGTTTCATAAGGAACTTGGGTATCACTTATTCTAACTGGGAAATTTTCTATTTTTTATTTTTAAATATGTTAATATGTGCAGATTTAGTCTCATTTAATGTTATTCGCCATTTTCTGGTCCAGGTATGTATTGTATTTACTGATAGTTACAACTTATCAGTCGCTTCTTCTATCTCTTATCGCTAGTATGGCTGTATCATTCACGAAGGTGACAATGGTGTTTTGTTCTAGCTCTGGAATATCACACGTATACAATAGGTACAGGACAGGACCTAATACACTCCCTTGTGGAACGCCAGCTTTGATCTCCCCTAAATCGGTGTACACTTCTTGTTTTACTCTAAAATATCTATTCGCAACGTATGATTTCTGAATACTGTTTAAGCATGAACGTTCTTAGTTTTTAGTTTAAACCCTCATTCAATCAATTGTTGAATTTTTTATATTCTGTATCTCCCTTTTTAGTTTTTGTGTAGCATTATTTAGACTATTTTTGTCTCGTAGAGCTCTGCATTGCTGCCATTTTTTTCTTAACTTCCTTTTTTCTACTATGAGTTCTCTGATTTCTTATGGATAGTTGTCCCCTTTTGTTCTAGAAGTTATTGTGGTAGTATTTTCCCAAGCTACCTGTTGGATATTTTTTATAAAAACTTCTAATTCGCCATCAACTTGTCTCGTGTGTCTCAATGGCACTGCAAGTTTATTTTTGTGAGCAAGGTTTATTTTGAAGCTCTCCCAGTCAGTTTTTTTATTAGTCAATATTGGATTGGAAATTTTAATTTATAAAATCTAAAAAATAATAAATGTACAGAGACAAATCGAATAGTAAAAAGACTGGTAGGAACACTTCACCTTCTTGAATTTTGTTTAGTCCTAAACTTCTGAGAATTCTTATTCCTGCATTTTTAGTAACTTTTAGTCATACGTTATCTTTCATTGGTTTATTTATTCATTTGTTTAATTATTATATTATATGTTTATGTTTTAAATGTTTCAATATTATTATTATTATTTTAAATGTTTATGAACATACACATTAATCAAATCTTTTAAAATAAGTCAATGATCATTTTTAGAGGTCAACCTAGTTTAAAATAGTTTTAAATAACCTGCGAAAATATTTAAAATCCATTATCAACAAAAAAAAAATGATAAAAATGTCATATTTTAACAAAAATGTTTCAAATTTTTAAAAAATTTTGATATGCATATCAAAATACGTGACAAAAACGTTTTATTATTTCATTATCAAAAGCTGAGTGTTGAGATGATATATTAAGGATTATAAATTTATTGTAAAATTCGTAAAGACCGCAATCAATAATAATTATCAATGATCCATCAAAAAATTCGTGTTTTATCATACATTTTTGGATGGAACTTCGAAGGATTAAGATACTAAAAAATTAGGAAGATAACATTTGACTCTGATGAAAGTGTTGCCGAAATTGAAATAAGTAAACGATAGTATTTTCTACATTCATTATAATATCAACGTGATATTTAAACCTAACAATTTCCTCGTAAACCTTTCTCCCGACCAATGTCTCGTACCGATCCCACGTAAATTGTTTGAAAAAGTAAGTTCGTGACTAAGCTATGAATCAGAATAAAAGAATACACATTAACAACATATGAGGAGGTGTCAATCAAAATCAATCATGTCCATAAAAATCAAAAAATGAGTTAGCAGCTGTTTCATAATATAAAGAGTGAATCCTATTCTATGGTGTTTTCGGTTTCGGTTAAAAAAAATCATGTCCTGTTTAAAATGAATACACAATATTAGGTTCCCAAATCAAATGAAATCATGTCCACAGTTGGTTTCAACCATACCACCACATGTCCATTCAGCTAATAGGAGTGCCCCGATTTGGTCACGTGATTTGACCATGTCAACACATTTTCTGTGTTTTCCCTCTAGGTTATGTCGATAGCGAGTATTGAGCTTGTATTGCACAGTGGTTTAATTTTAATACTATTATAGTAGTTTTTATCAAATAAAATTGAAATTTTCCATGGATGAAGAAAACTTAGTGAGAGTGGGCGATGCCAATGAAGGATCTCGTAAAAATAAAAAGACTGTGGAAAAAAAACTAGAGCCAAGCTTAAGCGATACAGTACTCCAGTGGGATGTCGTGTGTTTGTTCCATGTAAACACATGAACAAAGGTATGAAATGTGCATTAGTTAGGCCTATAGATGCTATTTTTGTTCGAAATATCCTCTACAAAATACTAAAAGTTTTAGTGTACAATATTCTATACTTTCATCAACCGGTAAAGGTATACCTGTGTGTAGGAAACTTTTCATGCATATTACCATGGTGAAGGGAATAAGATTGACTAATATTTCTAAAAAGGTGAAAGAGGGAAAGAAGGATCAGAGGGGTGGCGATAGGAAGAGTCACAAATCTGCTGCGAACAAGGAATCAGTCCGCCTTTTTTTGAGAAATTTAAGAGGAAAAGAAAGCCACTATAATCGAAAAAAATCGAAAAGGATTTATCTTGGTGCAGACTTAAACATTAAGAAGTTGTGGCTAATACACAATGATTCTGTACTTGATAATCTTAAAGTTAAGAAATCTGTTTAGGAGAGTTTTCAATGAATTAAATATCGGATTTTCATCACCAGCTTCTGACGTTTGCAGTACATGCAATAAAATAGATCTTCAGCTGAAAAGTGAGAAGGCTAAAGCTGTGAAAGACTTGGTAGTGGTCAACCAATTTATGATGGAGAAAAGAATACACAGATTAAGAGCTAATGCTTTGTATGGGCTCTTAAAGGAAAACAAAGAAAATGAGGTTACTTTCTGTTTTGATCTCCAGCAAATTCAACCACTTCCCAAAACTCCTATTCAAGACGCGTTCTACAAAAGACAATTAAGTTTTTACTCTTTTTGCATTGTAGCATCAAACGCACAAAACCCCATATTTTACGTATGGACTGAAGAACTTGCAGGAAGGGGTGC